TTGGGCAATGGGCATCAATCAATCCCCATACGTAATAAAGTATTGTATTATTTTCTATACACAATTATATTTTTTAAATTAAGTCGGTATGGATAAATTACGTCCATAAGTTAAAAATTCAATATTTTTTGATAAAATATGTTCAAGATATCGAATTAAGAAAATAGCAATACCTAATAATTTAATTATAATAAAGCATAATCTATCCTTAGAAATAGATAGAATAATTTTTTTGTATAGTCAAATGCATCTTTGAATTTAAATTTAACCCTTCCGTAGCAGACTAGTACAAGACTGTACAGCAGAAGTGAATTCTCCGGTAATATTATACTCCATCTGCAGTAATAATTATTTGTAACGTTTTGATAGGGATTAGCAACCGCTCATAGGTAGTTGTATCAGGGGTTTGTACTTTATACATGCAGCAATTATGTAACTACTTTTTCAATGTTTGTTTTGTTATTCAAACATTTAACCTACCAAGATCAATCACTTGGTGAATTTACATATAAACAAACATAATATTGTGTACTCTGAATACGTGCGTTTCAATCCCGCCTACGTAGGCATTCGACACAAGATAGAAGTACGTTTTCACTAAACATCCCTAACAAGTTTCCAAAAGTTTCCAAGAGTTTTCCGAGAATCCAAGAATTTTCAAAGTTTTCCAAGAGTTTTCCAAACGCGAATTCCTATTGAAGATTCTGAGCTAAACGATAAATGTATTGGATACCACTATGATGTACCTACGGCCAATTAATCTGTGTTTTTCGTGTCAACTTACTCATGGGCCGTAGGTATAGTATTATTATAAAACATGTGCAAGTATACACTGTAATGTAATGATATATTATAATATTATATATAATATATTATTATAATATTATTCATATCTTATGACTTATGAGCGGGTCTTATATTAAAATCATTTATTGGGTTAATAGTTTAGTGTTAATTTGATTATTAAATTTATTTTATTTTGTTACTGAATTGACTAGGTAATGTAAGCTATATCATAGTCCTATCGGTAAGCTTCTTCAGTCAGTAAGCGGTCCACAACATTTCGGGCTGAATGACCGTCCTAACAGACGCAGACTACAATGTGGTTATCCCCATGACTTTTTAAAATAGCTCATTTAACTTTACTTATTGTTGTAAATATAATTTATTTTGTATAATTGAATAATTTATATTGTATGATGTAAAATTTGTTATTGTACTATGTTATATTTAAAACCTAGTAGGTAATAATTTACTATAATATAACCAATGATATCTGATATACAAATATTAATATTTCAAATATATATACTTAGGTACCTAAGTTTAGATGATTTAATGTTAGGAAAACTTTAAAAATAAAGAAAAAAAAGACTAGGTAGGTAATGTAATAATTGTACAATTTAATATTCTAATTTTAACTATACGTTAGTAAAATTAATTAAAAATATTTTCAAGATTTTTAGTATAGATCGGTTTCAAATAATTTATTCAGGATGTTGTCGTGCAACTATCCAAATACTTTTTTTTCAAAACTGCGCATTTGTATACCCAAAAACCCATGTAGAAATTTTTTTTTCGACATTTTTAGATTTCAGTTTTTAAAGGAAGCCCCCTTTGCTCTGTATAAAATACGTATAAATAACAAATACGTCAAATTATATCATATCAATTATTATTAACTACTCTATTGGCTGGTAACAGATTATTTTTTTTTTACGAAAACAATGAAAATTAAAACTTAGAATTGTATTTTATTATGTAGTTGTAATTTAGTATATTTTAATGTTTAGGAAAATTTAAATTACTAATATTTGAGTACTAAAATTTTTCGAAAAATTGGATAGTATTTTATAAGACTAAGTTTTGTACTTATGTGTATATCAAACCTTAAAATTGTATAAGTTTTAATGTTTTATCATATTATAATAGTATTTTCTGTTAAAAATCTATTTATGATGTACATAATGGAATTTATAACCACACACTTAATTATAACTCGGCAATTTATTTTTATCCCTAAAATCCTTATTTATTGTTCAAAGTATTTCAAACTAAATATATCATATTTATAAATTATAGACGTACCTATATTTTCAAATAATGTTAAAAATGTAATAGGTATACTTTGTATATATCCGTGTAAAAATGTAAATAATTCATGTACATTTTTCTAAAGCATTTCGAATCTATCTCTCAGGTGTATGAAACGAGACTAATGCCGAATATAAAAATTGGTATCAGTATCACAACATTGCAACGAGAAACGCGAAATCCCAACCCCAAATCTTTTACATGCTGTTATACTTGTTAAAATATGTTTTATATATTTATATTACATATCGTCGGCCTAATTCGCAAAGGTCGTATGTCCAAAATTACAAATTGTTCAGGAGAAGAAAAAAACGTTTTACGGCCATATTATTAATTGGAGATACAACGATTTCTAATTATCAATTTCATGGAGGATAATATTATGAAATCGGAAATTTGATTGTATCAACAGACGCAGTTTTTTTTTCTTTATTTTATGAGTAAATAATCCCAAAATGACAAAAAATGGAGATACGACTTTTGCGAATTAGGCCGACGATATATTATATTTATTTTAATTTTTAAGTAATTGTCAACTGATTTGTATCAAATTTAACACAGTTTAATGTTACTAAATATTTTAAATGATATTTTAATTTTTTCATAATTCACCATTGTAAGCAGTACCGGATCTAAGTCTCTGGAAGCCGGAGTGCAAGTACTAATATTGGAGGCCTTTTAAATTTGGCATTTTTAATAATTAGTCATATTATGCATAATTATTATATTATTTTTAATAATAGTTGATGATATTGATTTAAAAAAACCATACGACGTATCAATTAAATATCTCTAGGCTCAATAAATTAGTGTTAGATACAATTGAGTCCATAATAGTTACAATCTAGTATAAACGGCCAACGGGTATTGGTAATTTCATACAAATCATTTTTTCCTGAATATCATTCAATGTTCTTAATAATTGATTACATTACAAAGTTAAAAAAACCCTGAGGTCCCTGAAATAACCTTGGTCTTGAGTGTCCGTTATATTGCACTCCCTGCTACCCGATAAATCCGCTACTGATTGTAAGTGCATTAAAGCAATATAATACTAAAAAAATGTCGTTAATAATTGTTGTACATTTATCGATTCGTTACAATTAATGTTTTAATATAGTATAATATAGTTAAAAAATGTACCTTATCTTAATTAAGATAATCTTAGATGTATAGGTTAATAGATACAATAGTCTAAGTATCTATAGAGTTATAAATTATAATTAATGAATAAATAGTTTAGAACAATAACCGTCATGGGCAATTTTATCAACCATATATTATGTTTTGAATCGTTAATAATAAATGTAATCATTATTATTTTTGTTATTTATTTTGTGTTGTTCTAATTACGTACTGCTAAATAAAGATGTAGGAGTTGCGATAAAATCAAGATTATAATATATAACATTAAATTATTCAGTGTAAACATTATATAATACAGTTAGGTATATTCATTGCAGTTGGTACCAAAAAAAAAAAATCATATTTTATGAATTCTGAAATAATACGTTTTAAAATGTTAAAACTGTATACTTAACTCACAATTAATTCAAGTCTCCATTGATTAGTTCAGAATTTGTTTGTTGTAGGTACTTACAATTCAAAATGTAATAAACTAATAATTATTTAAAAATGTAACTTCATAACAAATTTGAACAGTATATTTTAGTCACATAACAATTTAAATCAAACCAACGTGAAACCCAATCAATGTAAACGGTCGTTAGTACTTAGTTTGGATAAACTTCATTTCATTACACAATACAATATTCATATACAATGTGATAAATACAATCTATTTAATTTGTATAATTTTTATATGTTATCTATTAACTATTCAATTAAAAATGATCGATATAAATTATTCTTAGTATATAAATTACAAATATTACAAATCACAACCATCGGATTAATACATATATATATATTATAGAGATGATAAAACATTTAATAACCATAACCATATTGAATTCAATTATAATTGAAATCCCCGAAATTAACAACGTACCTAAACTTGTTGTCATAATATTATTATTCATTAACTAATTTAATAAAGTAAACTATATTTTAATAGTGCATGATATTATGATAATTATAAAATTGTGATAATTGTTTATTTTGATTTGCAAAAAAATTGTTGTACACTACATCAAGACAATGATAAAATTTAAAACTGATACTGGTCCAATATACTAAGTACAATACAATACCAACGTCTGCTGCATGATTATTTGGTCCCTGTGATGTTGTACATAACTTATTTAGGTACCTTTGGTTCCCATTCGGAAATTACGGGTTATTGACTCGAAATTATTTTTTTTGTTGAATACGATAATATTATAATTAAATTAATTTTAAATTATAAATGTATCAGTAATAATTACACTTTTAATACAATATTTATTAAAACGTAATAATTTGCATGATGCAAAATGTTGTTTTTTTCTATTATTATTATTCATTATTCAGTGAACAAACTAAAACCTAAATACAGTTATGTACTTATATCGATCATAATATATGCAAAAGCCACAATACCTAAATTAAAACTGTGATGTCGCGTAAAAAAACAAATTTGTTAAACTATAGAACTTGGCCAATATATTATGAAAAAGCCAATTCACCCAAGAAGAGTGAATATCAATTTTTCATTGGAAAAACAAATTTCTCGAACATTGGTTGAAAGATAGTTTTATAGTAAGGCACATTGGCACATTGCATAATATTAAGTAGGTATATTATATTATGTTATTTAACGATACATTTATTAATTAGTACTCAAGCTCTCCAGTAGTAAGGTGTTAGGGTATTATGGTCTGGAAGAAGATAAATGTAGACAGACGATAGGAGGCGTATAGGACCAGTATCGAAAACTTATTACGTGAAAAGCATTTGATAAGTACCTGTAGAGCGACGTAATCTCCGAAACCGATGGTGGTGAGCGTAACGAAGCAATAATAAAAACTATCGAAATAGCTCCATCCTTCGTATTTTGAAAACACGGCCGCACCAGTGGTGATGATAACGGACGACAGTAGTCCAGTGGCGAACATTAGATTCATTTCCGTGGCTTCTTCCTTTTTACATTTTAAATACTGTTTGGCCCTGCAGATGAATAATTAAAATATTTTATGTGTTTGTCGAGAACGTTATTGGATATTGAAATATTGACCTGAAAACATGGTAATATAATGTCTGATGCTACTTTAACAAGTCTATCAACTTGAAATCACCAGAAATTCAGAAGTACGGTAAAATAAACTATTTAACTGACAGGGTAACGTTCTTAAGCGTGAAAAATCTTATAGGTAGGTATGCAAAATTTAAATTTCATTAAAAATTTGATTGGGCTTAAATAATATATATAGTATGATTAAAAATGCAGTCTTGTAAAGCCTACTAATGAAATTATTTCAATACAATTTTTGTATTCAAATACTGAAATACATACCTTCTTATATAGGTATAGACACAATTTTTGATATTTATACCCAAATACTTTTTTTAGGTTCATACCTATAATATACGATTTATTTTGAATTTTTCAACTACGAAATACTAAACGGAACTCGTTCGGTCTTAATCAACTCCATGATATTTTGATCAAATGATTCAAACCAAATAATTTTGGTTATAGTCCAATTTGATATATGGTTGTACCCGAATCGATTCAAAAATGTTGTAAATATGAGTATACTTTAGTGATTAATGTGATTAATTTGTGGTGACATAAATAAAATCTTATGAACAAAAACGGAATAGTATTTGATCAACTGAGGGACTCAATTACCAAGAACTTACATTTTATATGTTCATTAAAAAATGTATAAAATTATTTGTAGGTATTTCTAAAAATATTTCAAAAGAATGTGACAATTTAGTTATGGTGACTACGTGTTGTTTAAATGTATGAAAAACAATTTCACATACGTAGTTACCTATCATAAAAACATTTAATATCATTTAAGTATATGTTATAAAAATATCAAAATAAAGTATTCTTTATAAGACTGTATCTATACTGAGTATCCAACTATCTATACTTATGATTTACTAAGAAGTTAAATTAGAGATATTTTGGTAAGAATACCTAACCTAATTCACTAAAAAAAAATGTACTTACTAAATTACTTTACTCAAAATAAATGGAAATACAATTAAATGGTTTACACAATGCTGAATAAAACTATGTTTACAATCGTAATGTTATTTTATAAATTGTGGTAAACTAACCATAATAGAAATCAAAATTAATAAATTGATTATGAAAACTATAAGTGGTAAAGTATTATTTAAATGAAACAATTTATTGTAAAACTGTAATATATTATAATATTATCCATAATGTATATGAAGTATCGTCGACGTTCTAATTCGCGACCTACAAATCAATTTTCAGTCTAATATTTATACACTACTATTTTTTAAGGTAAAATGTATGAACTAACCATTAAAATTATAAGCTTTTAACATATATTTCAATTTAATTCTAAAATTAAGAAAGTCGTAAAAATATGAATTTTTTTTTTTATTTTAGAAATCTAGAAAGATATTTTACTCCCAAAAGCATGCATAATTAAGAAACTGCTCTGCTAATATTCAAAATTATATAATAAAATAAACTTTTTATAATTGTATATTTACACATACCTGCACATATTTTAAATATTAAATAGATATCAGTACATTAACAAAATTGTCAACCACTCGAAATATTTTATTTATTCAGAAATATGAGATCACCCCCAAAAAACAGAAAAATTACAGATAACTGTAAAATTATTTAGATTTAATATTAATATTTATTTGTAAAAATATAGATTTGTATAATTTCTACTACTATACTAGTAGGTATTAGATCTACTAGGTACTAAATTGAAAATGTAATTTCAATGTTGAAGATCCTTGCACCAAAACGTAACTATTTTTAACGATTTCTTTGTAGCTGTAAGAATACTTTTGAAACTATTTGTAGTTAGAAAAGTCAGGTAAATATTTTTAATGACTCATAAAATTGTCATATTTAGACGACTTTTAATTTTAAATTATATTGTCTCATATTTTTGATATAATACCTATTATTTGTCATGTTTGGCATAAAATATGTAGACTAAAAATATATTTGTAGACCACTTACTGGACTGTTAAATTAGTATCCAATTGTACAATCTAAATAATTTTGAAAGAGTTCAATTTTTATAACATTCTATGTAAACGATATTTTGTATTATTATCACAAGTATATAGTTTCGGGAAAGTTTAAATTGTTACAATCGTTATAAAATATTCGATTTCCGTTTTCTGAAATATATTTTTTTGTGAGCTCATCTATAAAATGAGGATTTTTAAAAATCCTTTCCTTTTAATGTGAACCTACATTATGGAACGAAGCCACGAAGATACAGACAAAATTTAAAGTCTCTACATATTATAGTTTAGGTTCTACATTGATTCAAGTCAGTTACGGAGTTTTATATTGCTTTTATAGTAATTTATTCTTTCTATTAGTAATCAGTAGGTTAAATTAATATTTTTTCCAAAAAACTACTTCTTCAAATCCTCATAAAAAAAATTAAGGAAAAACATGGTGTTTATTTCAAATCAATTTTTCAACAAAATCTATTTTGTGTTTTTGTAGTGATTAAGAAATAATAACTGATAGGTTTCAAATATTTACAATATATTATTATCAGCATTTACTAGATTTTATACAGGTAGATAATTTTCAAAATATGTAGTCTCTTTTTGTGCTTTCTATAGAGGTATTTGAAAATATTTAATTTTTAAATCAATGCATGATATACATTTTATTTTATAGTAATAAAGCTTGAAAATGTTATAGAAGATTCATCATGTTTTTTATAAAAATAAATTTAAAAAAAATTCAATTTTTGGCACGAATTTAAGTGATATTAAAATCCCAACTGTTGAAACATGGTAAAATGTTTAGGTGGACAATCTTGTCTTCTTTTTCATGACAATATGTGCACTGTTTTGATCAAATATCTAATTTTAAATAACTATTATGTGAATAATAGTTTTAATTGTATATTTCAAATGGAAATAATACGTTTTGATTAAATTTTGTTCCACCCTATAGGTACGCAACATGGGTAATAAAACGTTTTAAATCAAAAATTAAATTTTCCTATATCTGCAACAAAGGCAATAGCCTGTTTTGGACCGAAATGACAATAATATACGTTTTTAATTGATTCTATATTATTTTCTATTGATTCTTGATATATGGCTATAGAAAGTTTTAGAAATAAAGCACATTTTCAAACTCTTATCACCTATAAAATATTATAGACACAGCAGAATTAATTTTTTTTTTAGTTTCTACCATTTTTTAGATGTATAGGTCGATCTTGATAAAATTTTCAATAACACGTTTTGGATTATAACCACACAAATTTACGATTTTTTAGGTTTTTTTTTGTGTTTAAGCGTTGGTAAAAATGTTTAGGCTCTTTCGAGAACTTTGAAAATGTAATATAGGATCCCTAGGATCCCATATAACTTTTGCTTAAAACAATTTAAATATATTAATAAAAACAAAGACACGACTTTTTTAATGAGCTTTTGATGTAAAATCTACCATATTACTAATAAAAAAATGAATTACTACAGTAGCAATATAAATATTCAATAAAATATCCTTAGAAACATAGGCTAACAGGTCAGCTTCTATAAATTGAACACTGTATAGGTATATAATGTAAAAATAAAAACACATGACCTTTAAATGTATTATACCTACCCACGACCTACATAATCATATACCTAATAATTATTTTATCTATCAATTGTTATTAACGTTAATAATATATAATTTAGAACATATGTGTAATTTATCAGTTTAGTTTTAGTTTTAATTATTTTACTGATATATTTTACCTTAGAACTCTTTAATCGTTTTCCATAAAAATTATAATTCTAGTATATTGTTACAACTTTAAAAAAGTGGAAGAAAAACATTTTTAAAACGGTTTATCACCTCCTAATTACTACGGACGCAAATTTATTTAAACGTTCACCAATACTCTGGAACATAATAAGTCCTAATGGTATGCCCACCATAGCGTATGCCATACAAAATGCTTTGCCACCAATTGTCACTGGTGTCGAGTGCCCATAACCTGTGAACAAAAAATTATAATACTTTTAGAATCCATATAATACTACCTATGTATAAATTGTATTACTCATATTTTATTAAGACGTTTACTTTATATCATTATTATTATTATTATTATTACTATTGAATGTTATAGTAATAGTGTTTTTTTTTTATAAATATAATATAATTTATAATTTTTGTAAATAAGAAATTTAGAGAAAACATGATAACACTTAAAACATGAGCCTATACCATATTCTCCCCTACAATATATGTGGGCACAACAATTTTTTTGCGAAAAACACTTACCTATACCTACACCTACAACTCTGAATAAGTAATATTGCAATAGCTTTTTTTATTGTTTTTATTCAGTAATGTATGTAAGTTATAATCTGATTATTTTTTCAGTATAGGTTAGGTTAGTATCTTAACTGTATTTTATAAATTGAATATGTTATATGGCATACATGTACTTGTAGAATTAACTTCAGTTTCTATGACAATTTTATTTTATTTAATCAAGTACCTAGGTACCTAAAAGTTACAACTTTTTATCTATTTTTACAAAATTGCATTCGTAAAATCGTATAATTACCGATCATAGCCAAAACGACTGTGGAGAAATAAAACGCGCCCGCAAATTTCCATTGTGGTCCAGCTTTGTGAGGCTTGTTTTCGATGATAGCAACCTCCATCATCCTGTAATCATCTTCGCTTATGCTGTATTTTCTCACCAAAGCTGCTTTTAGTTCTACAATCATCGTAAAAATATATATAGGGTTGTGTTAAATATACATATTAATCAAAACTGTCAACCAACCAACAAGATACTATAAATGTTATGTTACCATCAAAATAATTATTAATAATATGCCTATTTATATTGTCTATGTTATATTGAAGATTGACTTTGAATTAATCTCTGTTTGGCTGTAATTACAATTCAAAAATATAAAATCCAGTAATTTAAATGATGATAACATAAATATATTAATATGCAATCCACATAAATTTATAATAATAAGTAAAATACCTGGCTGTTAGAATTTGAATTAGAAATAAAACTATTTTAAAAATGAAAGGAAGTGAACCTTATACTAAGTAAAATATTATTAAAATGTATTCGAATAATGATTGAGATTATTGAATACACGAATGGCATACCTGTCTACATTAATTTTAGAAACGATCATAATACCTACACGTGTACATATTTGCAAACTATTTTACCACGTTTAAACTTTGTCTACAGATATAGTCTACAACAAAAGAAGTAATAACGTATTAAATTTTTTATGAAAAAAAAATGTCTTAAATTGAGTATACAAGTTGGAGAAAAAATATGATATATAGCCATCTTTATTTATTTGTTATTATAATTATTTTTAGTATTAACGTTGACAATTTGTTTGTGTTTAAGAAGACGTTACGGACGCATTTGTTGCTTCAGTCTTAAAAGTACGTAAATAGCAAATTCACGATCAGCAATTCATGTTTAGCATAGTTAGCTTAAAATTTAGAGTGAATCTACCTGTAATGAAAAATAATGGTAAGAATACCATGTATGTGTTTGTATGTTGATTTTTTACGATGGTGCAGTTTTTAAGTGATCAAAATAATTGGGTGAAAAAAAAACAAGGAACATACTCTGCAAGGAACTGTTGTGTGCCAGTATAGTAAAGTGTTGAGTGTACGTTATCATAGAGGACCATTATAATGGACGTGTTCAATTTTAATTAAATGATATAACATTATATTTACGCATCATGATTCACGAAAAATGTTTCTGAACGGAGGAGTCCTGACACCTTATAATTTTAAGGATATTTTTGTTTATTTGTATCAGGTACTATTAGTAATTTGTATTTCTATATTAGTTGATATGGTATATTGAGCTAGTTTTTTCCAGAATAAATATAATAGAATCAATATTTTCGTTGTATAAAAAGCTTAAAAATGTTTAAAATAAATCAAAATCAATTAAAATTATTTTGAAAAAATGCATTGCATTTCTATGTCTAATAACTACAAATCATTGTTTTAGTTTAAATATTTGATTTTGTGGATATTAGAAATAAATAAAATTATTGTGCTTATGTAGGTATTTCTGTTTTTTTTTTTTCAGAACAACTTATGACAAACCTTGTATACATGTTGATCTATTTCACTCAAAACGTAATAAAAGCTAATATGAATGCTAATATAAAAATTTCAAGTCTCTTCGATTATTCATTTTTAAATGGTAACAAAATAACAAAATCGATTTGATCAAATGCTGGTTTTGTGTAAAAATTCCTGTTTTTCCATCATTATTTTTTTTTTTTTTTCCCAATAATTATTAAGAAAATGACTGGGAATTTTTCACGTTTGACCACCCAAACTAGATTCAATTTACTATCTACCAGAAAATATATTGAAGTTAAATATCCAAGAATTTTTACTGTATCAAAAGATTATGACGGATAACACATAATTGGAAAATCAATATATTCATGACAAAAAATATCAGAATATAAAATATTAATGGTAAGAACTTGAAACCTTTCACCATTAGTATATTAGGTATATGAGAAGTTTTTTCCAAAATTTAGATCAACATACCGTACCTAATACGTATAACAAAATATATTACCAAATAATTATACATAAAATATTAATAAAATATTGTTAGTAGGTATAATAATAGAGGATGTCACACTGTCTTAGCTTAGAATGGATTATTGTATGCAATTACGTATCATTGAATTCAAATTTACATTTTGTAATTATTATAATATACCTACTCAATGATGAGCATACTCGAAATCGATACTATACGGGTATACAGCCGACAGTGCGACTTTTCCTGTTTTATTTATGTTCAACTTTTTTTATTTTAATTTAACATCAAGGTGTAGCCTTCAATAAATTTGTAAATTTAAACTCTTACATAAACAAATGATTTTTACCTAAAAGATGATTCCATCTTTTTCTCTCGGTTTCCGATTCTAATGCATCGAATACCGCAGCACCTACTAGCAAGTATGTGAATGTGCAAACTACTAGGGACAGTGTGCGCACGTTCTGCCGCTTCATGATTCTTGTTTATTCGATTCGTGTCACTGAAATAAACAAAATATAATTAAACTGATATAGGTATAGAGTGAAGTATTGTGTGTTTTATATGACCATACACATTAACATTTTAGCTTAATAAAATATGCGGTGGTCGAAGGGAATATATAATAATATATTCGTGTTTGTTAATAGAGTTGTCCCTTTTTTCTTTTAATTAAACATTTCATTAAAAAAACGGAAATTATAATAATTAAAAGAATTACTCATGCGCAAACGAAACAAACTTATATTACTATAATATTATAGTTATTCACGACATGGATTATTGGTCAAGCTATTTGCGGGGTGTTCATTTTACTAAATGTCCATACATCGCCTACTATAATGTATAGTAGGTACCTACATAATGTAAATTGTATATGACATATGTATATTATATTATACTGGCGTTAGTATAGGTACGGTAAATTCTTCACATATATATTATACTATTGAGGTTATCCGTTGTATAAAATATTTTAACTTGTTTTACAATAATAATATAATAATATGAAAGAAAACGTTTGTCTGAGAACAGACACACGGTGTTGTAATACATTGTATTGCATTTTATTGTTAATAGCAAATTCTCGAATATGTAATCTGAAGTAAGTTAAATATGACGATTACGACTGCGACGATATTTAAGACAAAAATTATAATTTTATGATTAGACGTGCGTTCATATACACGTCCCATGCCTACTAGATTTTATTATTATTACATAATAATGCATATAGGGACATAATAATATTATGATGTATTCGGCCGTCACTCTGGGTGAGATATAATGACATAGCTGTCCAAATATTCCTTACTATAGAAAACCAGTAGATTTCACAACGCATAATATTATATTTACATAGTACATTATAATATATAGTTTGTACCTACTACAGATCTGATACATATCATATAAACTACTTATCATTATAATTCACACCGTTCGTACCGTGCCATCATGCATATTATGCTACTTATTCGTTTAACGCCGTCCATTTTAAATAATTTCAATATTGCGTTACCTACAAGAAGTCTAATGAACTTTTTGACTTTTCGTCTGGACGGCGATGCACGAAATTATTTATGCGCATTATCGATATACGAATACGACGGTCCCGATAACAATCACTAAATTGACGTGAAACAGAAGAAAGAAAAATACAAAAACAACCTACACCTGTCCATTGTATGAATAACACATAATATTATATTATATAGTGTTATTTGTCATTAAGGCACCGAATAAATGTCGTGTACACCGTGCTTAAATCAAATTAAATGGATAATTAATAAAAAAAATAGATACCTACATAACTTAAATTTCAGGATTGCAGTTTATAGTGTTTATACATTCCTATAGAGTACAGGTACTCAAAGAAATGGTTAGGCAAACAGGGAGTGAGAGATTATTTCTGAGGGACGATAAGTATAGATAATTTTACTTAGTCAGCTGTCATCTGAAATGCAACATGGAAATACAACGGTATACCAATGTTATGACCGATAACCGGATTATGTTGCTACCTACCGATGGCGGATGGATAGTACCAACTAAGTCTTATATTGTCGTTTTCGTTGATTGGAATTATTGTTCACGATTTTGGCCGAAGAACGTGATTGTGCTCTAAGATGTCTTTAGGACTGCCATTGTTTCTTTGGTGGTAGTTTTGATGAAGTGATGCTGAGTATACTTATACCGAGAATGAGTCAAACCCACACTATATATTTGAATACAGTACCACGTTGTTTGGACACGTGGCCCTCTTCAATGCCGACCAATATATACTGCAAAAACATTAATTTCGTTATAAACTTATACACTTAAAATGAATACTGAACTTGGTTGTCAAAAATAACAATTTTTGTAATAAATTATTTGAAAAATAAGATACAATAGCTCTATAGACTATAAATAAGTGTAACCAATATTGTTGAAATGCTTGTAAATATCCGGCAACAGTAAAAAAACACTTGTTTATAGAAATTAATTGAATAGAATATCACATTCGATTTATAAAACTAATGTGTTTCCATTAGAACAGCAACAAAAATACTATACACACCGTTCCCCGCGTAGTAGAGCCGTAGAGGTGCCTCTCAATGAATTTTATAAACTCGGGCAACCCTCACACCCACAAAAAAAAAACAATATCGTGCTTTCCTGCAATCGATGTTGAATGTAATATATTGTACCTATAAATTATATATGTATATGTATAGAATAGATAGACATGTCGTAGGTACCTACAGACTGTTTTTCAAAACGTTTCATCTCTAATAAGTAATAACAGTATTCAAAATTATAGATATTGTATAGAAAATGTTATATAAATAGGCGAGTTCAGATACTTACAAATCAGGGAAACTATCGTTTTACTATTTTTTACTCCGAATGATATATTTAATGTACCAGTAGAACTATAGTAAAAAATCTCAAGACTTGTCGTATACCTACGATGTAAATATTGATCCGGTGCATATATTGTAGGTACATTTTGAAAACACTTTAGAGGGTACCAGCTGGTGGGTGCTATTTTCTAGACCACGGTCATTGAATTGGCACGAAAAAAAAATATTTTTTTTATTATTTTGTATATTATTACAGATCAAAATATCCGACGGCCGAAAGAATGATAAACGAAAATCTTCGATATTCCTACTGTAATCGACAATTTTCTACGAAACGATGATGGAACGATGATGATCGAATTTGTGTGTCAATATCGGACGTGATATTATTAAAATAGATGGTTTACATTCGTCGTCGTCATACCGTAGACATATATCAAACGTCTCCGACGGATTTGAAGGCCTCGGACGATTCCGTAGTCGTTTACGTAGTAGGTACCTACGTCGTGATACGATTAATATAATATTAAAATAATATTATCCGAACTGTTTCCGCGGAGAACAAACTCACGATCGATTGCCGTGCCATCCCTCCATATAATAGCCGTGCGCGTAATTTTAAAATGGTACTATTATGATATTATTAAACCAGCTTAACATTATTAGATACAATATATTATATTATACGTACCTACTTGCATCCGGTGCGATCTCAAAGCGAACGTCCGTATGGTTTTCCTGGTCGGCTAAAATCATAATACACACTATTATAACGAAGATAATAATAATATCATATTCGGTGGGTGTCCGTCAGTCGTAGTGTGCCGGTCGCCGCCACCATCGCCGTGCGAGAGCGCCGCCGCCGGACCGTTTATCGCGCCCACCCCGACGGTAGGACGGAGAAAATAATCGATTTTCCCGCGCGAAGCTGCGGCGCGCAGTGTCGCCGGCCTTGCGACGCGAGATATATACCACGAATGTCCCACCATCGGCTTGTAATGATATAGATATTATTATCGTGCTGTCCATACGATAATATTATGCTTTAATCGCTGTGACGTCACATTAAAAACGCCGTTACGTAATAGATTGTCGGTCGAAATCGTTTCGTTCGAAATTCGAATTGTACACCCCTGCAGCGGCTACGAGTTACGACAATATGTAAGTATAACGTTGATTGTCGTAACTTATGGATTCCAATTACTGTCAAAAACGACCGACCGATATTATGACACTTATACCTACCTACCTACTTGTTGAGTGACACTCGCAGTCAAGTGTCCACACACGCATAATATAATAACATATTATTATAACGCCGCCAATGTAGGTAGGTACGCAAACGTCACCTCGCCGCAGTTACAATGAACACCGCTGCACTTGAACCAAACAAAATAATAATCATTTGTTTATAAAAATACTTTTTACAGTGACATCCTTTTTAGTCGATATGTTAATATCATCAATTATTATGAACAGTAAAAACTAAAAAATACTGTTGTTTTATAATGGGGGATGTGAATTTAATGCTCACAACACAACAAGCTCCTGTCCTCATGCGATCTTGAGTAAAATATGTTTTTAAAAACGAGCATTCAAAATTATGGTTTATGGGGTATAGGAGGACGTCGTACCAGAAACGTCGTAGAAGATATCTCTGTGTCTTATTAAATATATCAACGCATAACAAGACACATTATTTGTTAAAAATAAATTAATTCTGATAAGTTTTTTTAATATTAGAGTAAATTAACATATGATACAATTTAAAGGTAAGAATATTAGTTGGGACTCATATACCTATAGGATTAAAATTATATTTTAATTTTGAAGCCACTTATGATCATTTTAAAATTATTGATAGTTAAAATATTAACATACCAACAAAATAATCCAAAGTAGAATCTTGGATAATATTCTGACCATTAAATTTGATAATAACAAGTTTTTTTTACTCTATAATGTTAAAAATAATAATATAAGTAGTAAAATGGAATATACTTATTTCAAAATTGTCGATGTTAGGCATTAGTACAAGACAGAGTCAACACATCGACAACTTCTTAACAGTATTTGTGTTGATTATTATTATTTTTTTTAATTACTGAATTATTCCTGGTATGTTTAATAAGCAAAAATCTGTGCTAAATATTTTTTTATCAGGAATTGTATTCATCCACAAGTGCTGTAATTGACAAAAATAATCTAAAAATAAATTGTTTTCTGTCAATCTACTAATTATTCATGTACCTATTATAATTTTTTTATATACGAATAAACGGTAAACAAATATGTTCCAACTGTTTTAATATTATATTACTCATCATAATTACGAGGCTACATGCCTACATAAATTATAAATAATAAATCATATAGCTACCTACATGTTTTTTTTTATAGTTCGACAATATTTTTAATAGCTATATATAAATAATGAAATAAGTATTTATTTATTATACCTACTATCAGTAGCAAATGTATAGTACCTACCCACCTAATAAACTTAAAAAGTTATTTTTATTTTTTTAAGTTAACATATAATATTTTAATTATAGACGAAAATAAAGCAATGGAAAAAATATCAAACAGTAAAATTAGTAAAAATATTCAGAATTTTACCAACACTG